TGCCCCTGGTGGCTGCAGGGCAACATGCAGCTCTAAAAACTTGGAATATTTTAAAAAACTTTTACTTTTTTAGGTATAATTTCAACAAGAAAATTCATCCCAGAAACAAATGTGTAACTTCTTTATGATTCCAGATAATGGAGTTCTAACAGGACAGATGTGGAGGTTCTGTAGGCTCTGGACCTCCCGGTACCAGCTCTACCTTCTTCTTGCGGTTCTGTGGGTGCTGCTGCCGATCCTGGCTCTTGCCCAACAGGTCCGGGAACGCCAGCGGCTTCAAGGACCGGGACCGTGGCGCCCGCGGATACCGGAAGTCCGACTCCCTGGAGTCCCGGCTGGCGCCGCTTCGGACCGAGCAAAGCGAGCGCGAACGGTTCCGACCCGAGGAGTGGATGCTGTTGACTCCGATCATGGCGAAGCCGGGTCGACTAGGGTCCGACTGGAGGCGAAGCGGTTCTGATCCGAATGGTGTGTAAATACAGTCTGGACGGAGCCGTTAGAGGTTCTGGTTCTGATGGATCCGGTCCCTCCAGCAGATCCAGTCGGAGTTCTGGGTTCGTCCAGCAGCTTCCAGATCCGTTCTGGAGGAAACTCCTTCCTTCAGATCAAACTTGTGGTTTCTGAACAAACTGTTTTTGTTTCTTCAACGAGATTAAAAATATTTTGATGGTTTTAATTCCAGTAATTTCAGAATTGAAACAGAAATGAATCAGATTTCTGTTTTAGAGTCAGACGTTTGATTTCTGGGTTTATTTGGCGCAGAGATCGTTTCTTCTGATCGATGACGTATTTAAAGGTTTGTCCAGACTTTCCTCCTCTTCCTCCTCTTCCTCCTCTTCCTCCCGTCTCGTTAAACAATCCCAGACTCCGCGCGGTCCGGTCAGGCGGTTACCACGGCGATGCGACGCCTTGATCTCCCAGACAAACGCATCCCGACTCGGAACGGCGGCGAGGAGAATCCCTGGACTGCAAATAAATGTGTGACGATGGAGACTCATCAGCCAAAACCCAGAGGACGATGAAGGGGAGGAGAGAAAGGGAGGCTGGGGCGAGCGAGCACGCCCACACAGTCAGACAGAGAGAGAGTGAGGGAGAGGTGGGAGGATGAAGGTGGGGAGAGAGGAGGAAAGTTTCTCCTGATCTGCCCTGAATCTGACACAATCCCTTCTCCTCTTCTGCAGCTGTTGATCTCCTCCTCTTCCTCCTGCAGGAGAATCCCTCGTCTTCTTCAGGTGATCTCAGTCCTCCTCCTCTTCCTCAGACTGAAATGTTAAGGACTGTTTGCCCTCCTCCTCCTCTTCCTCTTCTCTCTCTCTCAATGCGCATTTTCTCTGAGCTCAGCAGCCAATCAGAGGGCAGAGCCAGCAGCTAAGGCCCGCCCCCAGCTGCCAGTCATGAGCTGAATGTAGATGTAGCTCAGTGATGAAGTGGAAGATTTTTATCATTTCAGAACTGAAAATTTTACTTTAATGTTTTAAAATCTAATTTTCATTGCTGTCTAATTTCTTCTCAAAATATCAAATAATCTTGAATGTTTTCATTTTTGTATTTTTTTATTTTAAATATTTTTGAGAAAATATAAACAATATTTTAACACAAGTTTTAATCATTTGTTGTAAATTAAATTAAAATGCAATTAAAAAACAGAAACCAGTTTTAACTGTAAAGTTTTAAATACTCCATGCTGAGTTATCAAAGTTAAATGTATAAATCAGATGAATTATGTCACAAATGACTAATAATGTTCTGTGGCATCTAGACGGTGACGAAAACCTGGTGGAAGGTGGCATTTCACCTTTCTGGTGAGTTGAGGGGCGGAGAATTGGTAGTTGAGGGGCACCAACCAACACCGGAGTTAGTCAGGGACATCTGAACCACAACTCCACAGGCCCCGCCCCTCAACTCCACAGTCCCCGCCCCTCAACTCCACAGGCCCCGCCCCTCAACTCCACAGGCCCCACCCATCAACTCCACAGTCCCCGCCCCTCAACTCCACATGCCCCGCCTAAACTCTACAGGCTCCGCCCCTCAACTCCACAGGCCCCGCCCCTAAACTCCACAGGCCCCACGCATCAACTCCACAGTTCCCGCCCCTCAACTCCACAGGCCACGCCCCTAAACTCTACAGGCTCCGCCCCTCAACTCGCCAGACTCCGCCCCTCAACTCGCCAGACTCCGCCCTTCAACTCGCCAGGCTCCGCCCCTCAACTCCACAGGCTCCGCCCCTCAACTCCACAGGCTCTGCTCTAATTAACCTCGCCCTGGATGTCATTAGTTTAACCTGCCAAAAATTGATAGGTTTTCTGCACAATGTCCCTGCAATTCACCCCAGGCTTTCAGTCTGGAACTAGTGTCACATTCAGGCCACTGGTTACCAGTCAATTTGAGAGTTCATCTTATTTTAAAGAGTCTTCATGGACCAGAAACACAGGAGAAGTTTTAGTCTTCGACACCAAAACACTGATATCATCAAACCAGCAACATCTCCGGGGGACGGGACTTTTTCAGTCAATTCTAGAAATTTTTCCAAACATCTGAATGTGGTTTCATTTCCATGCTTCTGCGTTGCTCAAACAGGTTTTTAAGCGTTATTTAGATTAATTCCCTGATCAGATTTTGCTCTCTCATACAGCTGCCAAGATATTTCAGCAGAAATTTCTTGATTCTTCATGCAAACACTGATAGAGGATCAGAGCAGGAGAGCAAATTATTCCTGCTTTTCTGCCTCTCAGTCAGTCTGAGCTGCTGCCCACACACTCTTTGCTGCAGCCGTCCAACCAGCTGACAACTCAGCAAACGCTCTGCACACACATTAGCAACATGCATGATGATGATGAGCATGATGGAGGTGAAGAGGTGACGCAGATTCATGTTTGATCGCTCTGAGGCTGAGGTGGAACCGACCCACTCAGACATAAACACACACCAGACAGACAGAACTATCCACAGCAGCCAAGAAAACCAGTCAGAGTGCAGACAGTGATGCTGTCGCTACAGCAACGCACTGTAGATGAAATGTCCCAGTCCACCATGTCCATCAATACATCTATGACCGGGACCCACTTAAAGCTTGTGTCCCCAAAGAGACGAGTTTATGTCAACGTGACGTCCCAACGAGAGAGAAAAACAGGTCTGTGTGTGTGTGTTTAAAGCTGGGATGTAAATGATCAGAACCAAAACAATCAAACATAAAACATTTCTAATTTACAAAAAAAATCACCATTATGAGGGATTTATGGATTATCAGAATATTTTGAGAGTGTAAAAATATTTAAATAATAAAAAAATATTTATTTCATGATGACATTTTACCATTCAGAGAATAGTGTATCTTGGGGACATTTCTAGATTAGGAAGACAATGTATTTTTTTATTTCATTATGAAGACATTTTAACATTACATTTTGTCAGTTTTGATAAACTGCCTATATCTCCTGGAGAAGTGAGCTTTGATAATTATAAGTGCATTTCTGGATTTTAATTTTGTTTGACTTTGGGATTATAGTGATATTTTAACAAAACAACTTTTTTAATCTGTATTTTTCTTGATTTTGATATTTTGTAATTATGAGTATTGTTAAAACATGAGTGCAATTTAGTAAAAAAAATTGTGAAAAATAAGTACTTTTTTCACTCATATATAGTAATTTGAACATAAAAATTGCTAGATTTTGTGAAGATTTTTAATTTGCGACCACATGTTGCTCTTTATAAAAGTGAAAAGCAACAAACATGAATCACCGCAGCTCAAACTGAATTAGGGTAAACAATGTAATCTGTGTAGATTAAGAGCCAGTGGGATCAGATCAACAGAGAGGAAGTTAAAGAGACACTTCTGCATTAAGAGGACGCCTGCGGGGACGTTCAGGAGGATGTTCAGGGCGACATGAGACGGGGACACACCTTTAGCAAGTCTTTGGGGAAGTCCTTCCCGTCGTTCAGTCCTTCCAGGTTGGATATGAACTGGCTGCAAGACATCCTCTTCCCACATTCTGCACAGACAAGGTGAGGGGTTGCTTTGCTTGCTACAGTCGCCTCTGCTGTTACAGCAGAAACCTTTAGACCCGCTGCTTTCTGTGGTCATTGCCACGTCAACAAGACTCACTTCCTTAAACAGCATAAAATTCTGGAGCGGCAAAAAGCAGCTGACTCATGTAAACATTATTGTTAATAAATCAACATCAGAAGAATCTGTTTCAGAAATGTTAAAGTCATAAAAACGTCACTGCTATTCAGATTCATCAAAAATAATATATGTTTTGTTTTTAAAAATAGTGAAATAATAAATAACTCATTAATTTAACCAAATATGAAATTCCATCCAATTGAAATGGTTAATGTGGGTTTATGTAACACCAGTGGAAAACAATTAGTATAACAGAGAGAAACCTGTATGTCGAAAATGTTCACAGGACAGAGGAACTCCAGTTCACTGTTTGTGGTATTGAAGGAAAATTATACTGTTTTGGAAAGAAGTAAAAGATTTAACTGAGAAAATAATTTCCAAAACTAATTTTGGATCCAAAGCTGTTTATGTTTGGACGATAATCTGAAAAACATAATTATACTAAAAACGAAGGAAGATTTATAAACTTATGTTTGCTCACTACAAAAAGATGTATACCATTGTTCTGGAAGAAAACTCATGGTCCGACTAAACCAATGGCTGCAGCAGATGCTATCTGCTACTACTATTACTGCTACTACTACAACTACTGCTACTGCTACTACTGCTACTGATACTAATGCTACTACTGCTACTACTGCTACTGCTACTACTACTACTGCTACTACTGCTACCACTGCTACTGATACTAATGCTACTACTGCTACTGCTACTACTGCTACTAATGCTACTGCTACTACTACTGCTACTGATGCTACTGCTACTACTACTACTGCTACTAATGCTACTACTGCTACTAATGCTACTACTGCTACTGCTACTACTGTTAGTACTGCTGCTACTGCTACTGCTGCTACTACTACTACTGCTACTACTGCTACCACTGCTACTGATACTAATGCTACTACTGCTACTGCTACTACTGCTACTAATGCTACTGCTACTACTACTGCTACTGCTACTACTACTATGCTACTAATGCTACTACTGCTACTAATGCTACTACTGCTACTGCTACTACTGTTAGTACTGCTGCTACTGCTACTGCTGCTACTACTACTATTACTGCTACTGTTACTGCTACTACTGTTACTACTGCTACTACTGTTACTACTGCTACTACTGCTACTAATGCTACTGCTACTACTACTATTACTGCTACTGTTACTGCTACTACTGTCACTACTGCTACTGCTACTAATGCTACCACTGCTACTACTGTTACTACTGCTACTAATGCTACTGCTACTACTACTATTAGCTACTGTTACTGCTACTATTGCTACTACTGCTGCTACTGCTACTGCTGTTACTACAACTACTGCTACTGCTACTATTGGTACTACTGCTGCTACTGCTACTGCTGTTACTACAACTACTGCTACTGCTACTATTGCTACTACTGCTGCTACTGCTACTGCTGTTACTGCTACTATTGCTACTACTGCTACTGCTACTACTGTTACTACTGCTACTACTGCTACTAATGCTACTACTGCTACTGCTACTACTGCTACTGCTACTACTATTACTACTGCTACTACTACTACTACTGCTACTGCTACTATTGCTACTACTGCTACTACTATTACTACTGCTACTGCTACTACTGTTAAGCTACTATTGCTACTACTGCTACTGCTACTACTATTACTATTGCTACTACTGCTACTGCTACTATTGCTACTACTGCTACTGCTGCTACTGTTACTGCTACTACTGCTACTGCTACTACTGCTACTGCTACTGTTACTACTGCTACTGTTACTACTGCTACTCCTGCTACTACTGCTACTGTTACTACTGCTACTACTGTTACTACTGCTACTACTGCTACATTTACTACTGCTACTACTGCTACTGTTACTACTGCTACTACTGCTACTGTTACTACTGCTACTCCTGCTACTACTGCTACTACTGCTACTGCTACTACTGTTACTACTGCTACTACTGTTACTACTGCTACTGCTACTACTGCTACTACTGCTACTGTTACTACTGCTACTACTGCTACTGTTACTACTGCTACTCCTGCTACTACTGCTACTACTGCTACTGTTACTACTGCTACTACTGTTACTACTGCTACTACTGCTACTACTGGTACTACTGCTACTGTTACTACTGCTACTACTGCTACTGTTACTACTGCTACTACTGCTACTACTGTTACTACTGCTACTACTGCTACTACTGTTACTACTGCTACTACTGCTACTACTGCTATTGTTACTACTGCTACTACTGTTACTGTTACTACTGCTACTAATGCCACTACTGCTACTACTGGTACTACTGCTACTGTTACTACTGCTACTACTGCTACTGTTACTACTGCTACTACTGCTACTACTGTTACTACTGCTACTACTGCTACTACTGTTACTACTGCTACTACTGCTATTGTTACTACTGCTACTACTGCTACTGTTACTACTGCTACTAATGCTACTACTGCTACTGTTACTACTGCTACTACTGCTACTGTTACTTCTGCTACTACTGCTACTGTTACTACTGCTACTACTGTTACTACTGCTACTACTGCTACTACTGGTACTACTGCTACTGTTACTACTGCTACTACTGCTACTGTTACTACTGCTACTAATGCTACTACTACTGTTACTACTGCTACTACTGCTACTGTTACTACTGCTACTACTGCTACTGTTACTACTGCTACTACTGCTACTGTTACTACTGCTACTACTGCTATTACTACTGCTACTACTGCTACTACAAGTACTGCTACTGCTACTATTGCTACTACTGGTACTACTGCTACTGTTACTACTGCTACTACTGCTACTGTTACTACTGCTACTACTGCTACTGTTACTACTGCTACTACTGCTACTACTGCTACTGTTACTACTGCTACTACTGCTATTACTACTGCTACTACTGCTACTACAAGTACTGCTACTGCTACTATTGCTACTACTGCTACTGCTACTACTGTTACTGCTACTATTGCTACTACTGCTACTACTGCTACTACTGTTACTACTGCTACTACTGCTACTACTGGTACTACTGCTACTGTTACTACTGCTACTGTTACTACTGCTACTACTGCTACTGTTACTACTGCTACTACTGCTACTACTGCTACTGTTACTACTGCTACTACTGTTATTACTACTGCTACTACTGCTACTACAAGTACTGCTACTGCTACTATTGCTACTACTGCTACTGCTACTACTGTTACTGCTACTATTGCTACTACTGCTACTGCTGCTACTGTTACTGCTACTACTGCTACTACTGCTACTGTTACTACTGCTACTACTGTTACTACTGCTACTACTGGTATTACTACTGCTACTACTGCTACTACAAGTACTGCTACTGCTACTATTGCTACTACTGCTACTGCTACTACTGTTACTGCTACTATTGCTACTACTGCTACTGCTGCTACTGCTACTGCTACTACTGCTACTACTGCTACTGTTACTACTGCTACTACTGCTACTACTGTTACTACTGCTACTACTGGTATTACTGCTACTTTTACTACTGCTACTACAAGTGCTGCTACTGCTACTATTGCTACTACTGCTACTACTGTTACTGCTACTATTGCTACTACTGCTGCTACTGTTACTGCTACTACTGCTACTGTTACTACTGCTACTACTGCTACTACTGTTACTGTTACTACTGCTACTACTGTTACTACTGCTACTACTGCTACTACTGTTACTGTTACTACTGCTACTACTGTTACTACTGCTACTACTGCTACTACTGTTACTACTGCTACTACTGCTACTACTGGTACTACTGCTACTACTGTTACTGTTACTTCTGCTACTACTGCTACTGTTACTACTGCTACTACTGCTACTACTGTTACTGTTACTACTGCTACTACTGTTACTACTGTTACTACTGCTACTACTGTTACTACTGCTACTACTGCTACTACTGGTACTACTGCTACTACTGCTACTACTGGTACTACTGCTACTACTGTTACTACTGTTACTACTGTTACTACTGCTACTACTGCTACTACTGGTACTACTGCTACTACTGTTACTGTTACTTCTGCTACTAATGCTACTGTTACTACTGTTACTACTGCTACTACTGCTACTACTGGTACTACTGCTACTACTGTTACTACTGCTACTACTGCTACTACTGTTACTACTGCTACTACTGCTACTACTGGTACTACTGCTACTACTGTTACTACTGCTACTACTGCTACTACTGTTACTGTTACTTCTGCTACTAATGCTACTGTCATACTTTGCAGAATGTTCAAGGTGTTTGTCTAAACTGTTAAAATTACAGTAAAGATATTTTGGAAAAATAGTTCCTGTCGGGAAGCCAGTCATGTGACCACATCAGTAAACCTGATGAGGAAGACAAAGGAGACACTCACGTTTCCATGGAGATCAGTGTTCAACAGCATGACGGCGCAGGTGAGGGTGTGGACGCTGTCTGAGAGAGAGAGAGACAGCGAGGGGCAGATGAGACAGCTAGGTGTACTACAGGTGAACATGTGAGGTTCAGGTGAAGTTCAGGTACCTTCAGTGGACAGCGTCTGGGGGTTACACTGCCTGTATCTCCTGGAGAAGTGAGCGAGGACTCTCTCTCTCTCCTGGGTTTCTCCCATCAGAGAAAACCGGGTCAGAAACGTCCTGAACCAGAACCAGAAGTCAGAGAGACACTGGATCAGAACTCGGGCTGAAACGATGCTTCGAACGATTCGAGTACCTCAAATCTTAAAATTTCTCGAGGAAAATGTATCTGCCTCGAAGCTTCATTAGTTTATGTTTTATTATTTAGCACCGTGCTCCAGCCGCGCGGAGCTCTGACTTCCGCCTCTGAGTTGTTGACAAAAGCTAAGTGTTAGCAGTATAACGTCCGATTTGTAGTTCAGCCTGTGAGAATTTTATTGATTGGTGAGCATGTCCTGGTTTTCATGGTTTTTGGGGACCAATAGGCATCCAGCTGCCGCGACAGCTGCAGTACGGCAGCTTTTCTCCTCTGGAGCTGCTGGTTCAGGGAGGACGGCGGGAAGAGCTGCAGGAGTATTGATACTGGTAGCAGATAGACTGAACATGGTGGGCGGCTTTGTTCAGTCTCATATCACATATGAGACGGGGATGGAGCGCAGCCCGGTCTCATATGTGATATGACGTCTCACGTTGAGGCGCCATGTTGCAGGTAGATGTTTCTGTGAGTGACGAACAAAGGAGTTAAATCCCGTCGCCAACATGAATACAAAAACTATAAATGTTTGGGCAAGGCGAGAGTTCACCTGTTAAACTGACTGAAGATGAAACCAAAAGCTGGAGCACAGACATTTTTATAAGTGTATCTGTGAGCCTGCCTTTTTATTATTATATTGAATATGATTTCAGATTCTTGTATAACTTTTCTTAGAAAGTGAGCTGTTATTGTTACAGGATAATTCTCTAAGCTACAGAAAAGTTACTGTTAAGGCAGCTCTAATGTGAAAAACTGGACTGATGTTGATAACACCTGTTATGTTAGATTTAATAATGTTTTATTTGATCTTTTTTTATCCGATTAGTCGTAAGAAAAATCGATAGATTTCTCGAATCCTAACATTGGTTATAACAGCCCTAATCAGAACCAGAACCTTTCACTCATTCATTGATTCAGTAGTTGACCTTCCTGTTTAACCTCATCAGAAACTGGGCCAGAACCGAGCCTAGTACCAGAACCAGCACTCACCTGAGAGCCTGGTCGATGTTCAAGCCGCTGAAGTTGAAGTGCTCCAGGTACTCCTGCGCCACCAACTGGCTGAAGTCGTTACTGCAGGATAAGAACAGGAAGCTCAGTCAATCCAGAACATCCGACCCAAACGCTCTGGTTCCAGAACGGGTTTGGACCCAGACTGACTTCTTGCTGAGGTGCGGTGCCACGTCGGACTTGCGAAACCCGTCCAGAGCATAGAGCCGCTTGGCGAGGCGCCGGGCTGCCTCCAGGTCCGGTTTCAGGCCGTTGGTCAGAACCTCCAGAACCTCTGGGTCGAGCTGGTCCGCTAGACGCTCCCTGGAGACACGATGAGAGTCACTCAGCAGAACCAACAGAACTGCAGGCTGTCTGACCCATCGCCGTGCAACACAGCAAACAAACAGCTGCTGGACTGGTCTGGACCGTTGGTACCGACCCAAACAGAACTTCTGCTTCTGGCTTTCAAGAGTCAGAAAGGTTCTGATTCCTTCGGTGGAAACACAAAGATGAACCCAAAGTTCTGATCAACAGCTGAAGAAGCAAACAACTGGGTCCAGAGAGAACCTGCCAACACTCACCAAGCGTCTAGTCAGAACCAGAACCCTAACCTGGACCAGAACCAGAACCCTAACCTGGACCCACCGCTTGACTACAGGGCTGCCTTGGTCCTCCATGGCGCTGCTCCGGTCCGGCCCGGCTACCAAATGGACCTTTTGGTGCCACCGCAGGAAGTGAAGTCAGAAAGGAGGAAGTGGGTCAGCCGCAGCGTGGACCCGACCCGGTTCCTGTAACCGGCCCAGCTTCCCTCCCACTGTCGCTATGGAAACCACACCACCAAACATCCCATGATGTCTGAGCTTGAATAATGCTGCTACCAGAACCGGCTAACCAGAACCGGCTAACCAGAACTGGCTAACCAGAACTGGCTAACCAGAACCGGCTAACCAGAAACTGGCTAACCAGAACCGGCTAACCAGAACCATCTGTAGAACCTCCAGAACCATCTGTAGAACCTCCAGAACCATCTGTAGAACCTCCAGAACCTTAGTCCGGTTCCAGTCTGCCGCATTTCCCTCCCAGAGGACAGGAAGTTTCCTGGAGGAATCCGGATGTTTCCGTCTGCAGCTCCTTCCTGCTGGAGAGACGCATCCAGAGCAGGAAGCTCCCTGCTTCACCCCATCTGAACCAGAACCAGAACCAGAACCCAACCTGCAGTGCTCCAAGGTATTGCAGTGGTTTCCTCGGAGGACAAGCTGTCTGTCTATGTGAGTAAAAGATTTCCTCTACATAAATCATAAGACATGGCGACATGTGACGAGGACTTCGTCCAACTTTTAGTGTCACTTGGAAGAGAAGCTTAAAGAAAGGTAAGATATGTGATGTCAGCAAAGCTAGCTGTACAGTCTCATATGTTGCATCTGCAATAAAAAAATGTGTGGAGGTGTTGACTGAGGTGTCGCATATATGGGACAACGCTGTGACCAAAGTCTGCTGTATGGTGAAGTGATATTCACAAACCATCTGATTGTCTGGACGGATCTTTACTAAGTCCTATAGGACTGAAGCCTCACCGAGAGGCGTCTTTGTTCTTGTGATGCTCTGCATACACTGCAGTAGCTATTATGTTATTTAATTAAAATATATGTAGATTTATTTAATTGGTGAATAATAAAACTAGAACGCAGAGCATGCTCATTGCTCTTTGATTGTTTGCGTCTCCTGTCATGGTGGCAGACAGGTGAGAACAGTCATAGTCCTTCTGCTTGGTTACTTCTTGCTTGTTGCGCCTTGGACAGTGTTAATAGTTGAGCTTTGTACCATTAATGCATTGTCTTAATCACTATGTTTAATGATGCAGACAGTTGTGGTTTCTGACATGGGCGATATGGGCAACTGCCCAGGGCGTTATCTTTTAGGGATGGCATTTTTTTTATGGGTATATTTGAAGGTCCCTGAGACTGACCTGTGTTTAATTCTCGCTTTGAATGCTGAATATTTACATCTAACTCACATCGGGTTCTGGCAGCGATTAGTTCTGTCTGCACCACTCACCAATCACAGGCAGGTCTGTTTCATCCAATCAGAGTTCGCCTCACAAATCCTGCATTCAATTCAATAAAATAAGTCAATAACATCCCAGGAAGCAAAACGTGACTAAAATAAACACATGAAACTTCATAATAGAAATTAATGGAGTTTTTCACCCAGCAAATGTTTTCTCATTCATTTCCAGTTTTCCACCAGGTGATTACTGAACCCCGAGCAGCAAAATATTGACATTTGATTGATATGTTTTTTCATATTATAAAGACTATAAACACATTAGTACTTGAGCAGATTTTAAGATTTTATGTCAACTTGTAATATTTTGTAAAATAAAACCAAATGGACCGCTAACAGGCCAACAGAGCTAGCATGTTACCCAGGCTGAGCTAGTTTTCTGGGAGAAACTCTGCATCAGATTCTTGGACCGGTTCTGTTCAGATCTCTGTTGGATCTGAACCATCAGAACCTTCCCGACCAATAAACCCACAGCTCCAATCCTAACGCCAGCCCAGCTGCTAGAACCAGAACCATTCTGGGTCCATACCTGCAGAGCATTCAAAGAGCTAATGTAGCTAAACATTGAGAAACATTCCTCCAATCTGAAGAGTTCATATGAAGTCCATCACCATGACGATAAACAGTCTGAACGAGCGGTACCGGCCCAAACTACCTCTGGTTCTGCTCAGTTCAGTTTCAGGTTATGTTTAATCAGAGGCAAATATAAGCAGAGTGAGACGTCTGTCGAGTTGAACTGCTTTGGTGTCTAAACCAGAGCAGAGTTCTTTCATCTGGACCAGAACCGAACCAGAACCTGATCATAACCCGTCCTGGTCAGGACAGAAAGCTGGGACCAAACAGAACCGAAACCAGACAGAGAGGAGTCAGAGCTACAGTTCTACCATTTGGATTAGAACCCGACCAGAACCAAACCCACTGACAGAACCGGAACCAGCTACAGCAGATGGAGACTCTGTTGAACCTGGCTGACTCGGTTCTGATCCGCTCTGAATCCTCAGAACCCCTTAGGGTCCAGTTTGTATCCGAGCCATAAAGAACTAACTGAATCCGATCCAGTTTCAGCTCGCTGTACCTAATAAAGTGGCCGGTGAACACATATCTAAGAACAGGCCTATCTCAGGAGTTCTAGGTCCAAACCGGGCCGATCTGCAGATCCTGAGCTTCCTGATCCTATCAGAACCGGTCCAGAACCATCAGAACCGGTCCAGAACCATCAGAACCTGGTCCAGAACCATCAGGACCTGGTCCAGAACCATCAGAACCGGTCCAGAACCATCAGAACCGGTCCAGAGCCTCACCTGTACACGGGCCGGGTAAGGCAGCAGGTACCGATCCTCCAGAGCCCCGCCCCCCCAGCACAGCAAGTAGGTCGCCATTACGACCTGGCCCTCCCACAGTCCCCTCTCAGTGGCCAATCAGACGGCCTCGGCACCTCTGAGGCATTATGACATCATCCTGGTACGACATCATCTCCTGTTCTTGTTCTGAGGCTCTGAAAGCCACAGCGTTCCCTCGGCTTTCCAGCTTCCCAGCGTTCCAGTCCGATCCTCCTGGTTTCCCTCGGAGGTATGAGCTTCCTCCCGGGCCGACAGGAACGCTCCTCCTCCTGCTTTTCCTCCTCCTCTTCCTCTCTTTGTCTCCTCTTCCCTTCCTGGAAGTTTCTGTCTGCGGTTTGCTGAACTTCTGCTTCAGAATTAATTCTGGACAGAACCAGGACCTGAGCCCAGCAGAACCTGACTCCGATGGAGACATCAATGAGAGGAGGTCAGAGGTCACAGATGGTAGAGATCAACACAAATTTCAGGGAGGAGGAAGAAGAGAAAGGTTTCTGTTTTTCTGACAGGAGTGGAGGTCTTTCTCTCCATCCCGTCTCTGAGATTCAGTCTGGATGAAATCATGAGGAATTTCCCTCCCAACCTCCAATAAATGGACACGAACGTGTGTGTGTGTGTGTGTGTACGTGTGTGTGTGTGTGTGTACGTGTGTGTGTGTGTGTGTGTACGTGTGTGTGTGTGTGTGTGTGTGTACGTGTGTGTGTGTGTACGTGTGTGTGTGTACGTGTGTGTGTGTGTACGTGTGTGTGTGTGTGTGTGTGTGTGTGTACGTGTGTGTGTGTGTGTACGTGTGTGTGTGTGTACATATGTGTGTGTGTGTGTGTGTGTGTACGTGTGTGTGTGTGTGTGTGTGTGTGTACGTGTGTGTGTGTGTACCTGTGTGTGTGTGTGTGTGTGTGTACGTGTGTGTGTGTGTGTGTACGTGTGTGTGTGTGTGTGTGTGTGTACGTGTGTGTGTGTGTGTGTGTGTGTGTACGTGTGTGTGTGTGTGTGTACGTGTGTGTGTGTGTGTACGTACGTGTGTGTGTGTGTGTGTGTACGTGTGTGTGTGTGTGTGTGTGTGTGTACGTGTGTGTGTGTGTGTGTGTGTGAGCAGCAGCTGCTGTTGCTGTTTGGCTGCTCCCTGGTTTGCATTCCTCCGGCTCTGTGGTTCTGACCCGTTTCCTGTGGTGCAGACAGTAAAGCCCGGTTCTGTTTGGGTCGGTTCTTTTCTGGGGTTCTGGGCGTCTACACTCAGCAGGATGAGATATGGCGGAAAGCCGATCTTTCACTCCAATGAGAGTTCAGGAAGTAAACACTCAGAACAGGAAACAGGAAGTTTAGAAGATATTTTCAGTCCAAGAAGAAGAGACCTTCACTGAACCAGGGAAAGGTCAAGAGGTCAGCTTGGACCAAGCTGGAACGTTCTGGTATGAAGAGCTGCTGAACTGAAGGCATGGTTCTGCAGGGAAACAATGGAGTGGACCCAACCCAGAAGTTCTGGAGGCTTCCTTTGGATGAATGGAACCGATCAAACCCATCGGATGGTTCTGGCGGTCATGTGACCCTGCAGGTGTCAGAACCAGCCGCTGAGTCGTGACAGATCTCCTCTCTGTTTTCCTGCCTGTGGTGACTCAGTGTTGCCATGGTGACGAGCTGAAAGGCCTCCAGTGCGGACGGCAAGATGGCGGGAATGGGTCGGCTCAGAAGTGCGGCTCGGCCGGCGCTCCGTCTGCTGCAGATACTCCAGCTGGTGATGATTCAGGAGACGAAACAGAGACCACAGATTCATGAAGGCCGTAGAACCGGGCCGGCTGGTTCTGCTGATCCGACTGGTCACCATGTGCACCGGCGGTCGGGAATCGAACCTGGGACCGCTTCGTTTGGACGGTTGGCTCTGCGCCGAGCCACCGTCACACCATCAGCCAGAAACCAAACATTAAATGACCTTAACACAGTTCTGGTCTGGACCTGGTTATTAAAGGCACTGGCTACAAAGCTAACATTAGCATAAGGGCTAATACTATTATTGCTATTATTACTATTATTACTATTATTGCTATTATTACTATTATTACTATTATTGCTATTATTACTATTATGACTATTATTACTATTATTGCTATTATTACTATTATTGCTATTATTACTATTATGACTATTATTACTATTATTGCTATTATTACTATTATTACTATTATTATTATTACTATTATTGCTATTATTACTATTATTACTATTATGACTATTATTGCTATTATGACTATTATTGCTATTATTACTATTATTGCTATTATTACTATTATTACTATTATTGCTATTATTACTATTATGACTATTATTACTATTATTGCTATTATTACTATTATAACTATTATTACTATTATTGCTATTATTGTTATTATGACTATTACTATTATAACTATTATTGCTATTATTACTATTATGACTATTATTACTATTATTGCTATTATTACTATTATTGCTATTATTACTATTATGACTATTATTACTATTATTGCTATTATTACTATTATGACTATTATTACTATTATTACTATTATAACTATTATTGCTATTATTACTATTATGACTATTATTACTATTACTATTATAACTATTATTGCTATTATTACTATTATTGCTATTATTACTATTATAACTATTATTACTATTATTACTATTATAACTATTATTGCTATTATTACTATTATGACTATTATTACTATTACTATTATTACTATTATAACTATTACTATTATAACTAATATTGCTATTATTACTATTATGACTATTATTACTATTATAACTATTATTACTATTATAACTATTATTACTATTATTGCTATTATTACTATTATGACTATTATTACTATTATTGCTATTATTACTATTATTGCTATTATTACTAATATGACTATTATTACTATTACTATTATAACTATTATTGCTATTATTACTGTTATTGCTATTATTACTATTATAACTATTATTACTATTATTACTATTATAACTATTATTGCTATTATTACTATTATGACTATTATTACTATTACTATTATTACTATTATAACTATTACTATTATAACTAATATTGCTATTATTACTATTATGACTATTATTACTATTATTGCTATTATTACTATTATGACTATTATTACTATTACTATTATAACTATTATTGCTATTATTACTGTTATTGCTATTATTACTATTATAACTATTATTACTATTATTACTATTATAACTATTATTACTATTATTGATATTATTACTATTATGACTATTATTACTATTACTATTATAACTATTATTGCTATTATTACTGTTATTGCTATTATTACTATTATTGCTATTATTACTATTATAACTATTATTACTATTATTGCTATTATTACTATTATGACTATTATTACTATTATTGCTATTATTACTATTATGACTATTATTACTATTACTATTATAACTATTATTGCTATTATTACTGTTATTGCTATTATTACTATTATAACTATTATTACTATTATTACTATTATAACTATTATTGCTATTATTACTATTATGACTATTATTACTATTACTATTATTACTATTAAAGCTATTACTATTATAACTAATATTGCTATTATTACTATTATGACTATTATTACTATTATAACTATTATTACTATTATAACTATTATTACTATTATTGCTATTATTACTATTATGACTATTATTACTATTATTGCTATTATTACTATTATTGCTATTATTACTAATTGACTATTATTACTATTATGCTATTATTACTATTATAACTATTATTACTATTATAACTATTATAACTATTATTGCTATTACTATTATGACTATTATTACTATTGTTGCTATTATTACTATTATAACTATTATTACTATTATTACTATTATAACTATTATTGCTATTATTACTATTATTATTATAATAACTATTATTGCTATTATTACTATTATTGCTATTATTACTATTATTACTATTATTACCATTATAACTATTATTGCTATTATTAATATTATGACTATTATTGCTATTATTACTATTATTACTATTATAACTATTATTGCTATTATTACTATTATTGCTATTATTACTATTATAACTATTATTACTATTATTACTATTATGACTATTATTACTATTATTGCTATTATTACTATTATGACTATTATTACTATTATTACAATTATAACTATTATTGCTATTATTACTATTATGACTATTATTACTATTACTATTATAACTATTATTGCTATTATTACTATTATTCTATTATTACTATTATGACTATTATTACTATTATTGCTATTATTACTATTATAACTATTATTACTATTATAACTATTATTGCTATTATTACTATTATGACTATTATTACTATTACTATTATAACTAATATTGCTATTATTACTATTATGACTATTATTACTATTATAACTATTATTACTATTATAACTATTATTACTATTATACTATTTATACTATTATTGCTTATTGCTATTATTACTATTATGACTATTATTACTATTATTGCTATTATTACTATTATTGCTATTATTACTAATATGACTATTATTACTATTATAACTATTATTACTATTATAACTATTATAACTATTATTGCTATTATTACTATTATGACTATTATTACTATTGTTGCTATTATTACTATTATAACTATCATTGCTATTATTACTATTATTACTATTATAACTATTATAACTATTATTGCTATTATTACTATTATGACTATTATTACTATTATAACTATCATTGCTATTATTACTATTATTGCTATTATTACTATTATTACTATTATTACTATTATTACTATTTTTACTATTATAACTATTATTGCTATTATTACTATTATAACTATTATTGCTATTATTACTATTATAACTATTATTACTATTATTACTATTATTGCTATTATTAATATTATGACTATTATTGCTATTATTACTATTATAACTATTATTGCTATTATTACTATTATAACTATTATTACTATTATTACTATTATTGCTATTATTACTTTTCCTATGATCGCATCAGGGCCCACGCAGGAAGCAGCCGGTGATGGACCCACTCAGTTCTGCAGGGTTCTGAGTTCCGGTCAGATCGGTTCCGGTTTCTGGGTTTGTTCTGCTCATAAGAAACTGATTGGGATTTCTGCTTCAGCTGGTCTGTTAGACCTTTGGTCTAATCTGAATGAGTTCTGATTTTTCTGCTGCTGATCAAAACCAGTCAACACGACCAGAACTACATGGAGGTGCTGCCTCCCTGTGGCCACTCAGTGGTACTGCAGCAGGCTCTACAGTCAGAAGGTCCAGAAGCAGAATCTCTGCTCAGAACAGAACCATCCAGCAGAACCCGTCACAAGCAGTCGTCTGGATCAGAACCTTTGGGTGGGACTCACCTGCTGTGCAGCACTGGCACCGACGTCGCCTTCCTGAAGCTGTCTCTGACGATGGAGCGCCGCCATGTGTCCTTCTCAGACCGGGATCGGACCGGGGGGCCCGGCCCGGCGCCGAGGGCCGTGTCAGAGGAGGACGACTCGGGCCGGTCAGCGGAGCGAAGCTCAGCTCCAGGATCTGCTTGGCGCTCTCGCAGATCTGACTCTGGACAGAGAAACGGGTCAGTGGCGGCCCGGTGCCATGCGGCCACTGACCCGGGCCCTCCAGACCGACCTACCTGTATCTCGGGGGTGCGTGGCAGGTCGAAGGTGAAGACGGAGGTGGATCCGGAGGTGAGCAGGTCCACGCTGTCCAGGCTGCTGTATGACGTCCCCTTGGCGCGGTGCGACTCCATGATGTTCTCGAAGTGGCGGCTGAACGAGTCCAACTGGCTCTCTGACGGTCGCCGGGCGACGACCGCCGCCGGCGACCTCAGGCCGCCGTGGTCCTCGGATGGCGGTGCCGTGTGTTCTGGAGGAGGAGACGGGTCAGACCTGAGCGGTGGTTACCGTGGAAACCAGAGGAGGACGGCCTCACCCCTTCAGCAGCAGACCGAGGACCTCGTCTTCCTCTCTGGCGGCGCGCTGCCTCTGGCGGTCGCCCTGCATGCGGACGCTGGCCCCTGGCCACGCCCTCCTCCTCCTCATCTTCCTCGTCCTCCTCCACCTGGCCGTTTTGCTCCCTGAGGCCCGTCGGGTCGAACCCTGGACGACCCGTCCTCCGGGCTGAAGCAGGACTTTCCAGAACGCTGCGGCTGAAACCCGGACCGGCCTCTTCGGCGGTCTCGGCCTCCGCTCGCATCACCTGCAGGGGGCGGGGCGATTGTCGCATCGGTTATCGAGGCGATAAATTTTGATCAATAAATTACAACATGCAGTCCTTCAGAAACTAGAAATTATTGGTTTTATCGTAGAACCATAAATATTGCGATACAACTTTAACTTTATATCAGCCAAATCAGAACTAGTTCACCTCGTCCAGGTCCGTCTGAACTGATTCAGTAAAGTGAACCAGTTCACCTCGTCCAAGTCCGTCTGAACTGATTCAGTAAAGTGAACCAGTTCACCTCGTCCAGGTCCGTCTGAACTGATTCAGTAAAGTGAACCAGTTCACCTCGTCCAGGTCCGTCTGAACTGATTCAGTAAAGTAAACCAGTTCACCTCGTCCAGGTCTGTCTCCCGGTAGCAGCGCAGCGGCACGGCGTCCAGGTCCGTCTCAGAGTACTTGATGGACCGCCGGATGATGCCGGTCTTTGGGGCGGGGCTTCGGGGTCAGGGGTCACCAGCTCCACCTCGACCTGCTGCACCTCGTGATGAGAGAGCTTCTGGTTCTGCTGGTCCCTCCCCCTCTCTGATTGGTCAGCTGCAGGTGGAGGGAGGAGGGCGGGGTGGTGCTGGGCGAGCCGCTGGTCGGTGGCGTGAAGGACGAAACGTCTGCATGAAGAGATTGAATAAACTTTATTAATCCCCAGGAGGAAACGACGTTTCAGGCCAAAGAACAAAACAACAATTCATCCCTCACAGAGTGAGTCCATCAGTTTCCAGCTGCATGAGTCCCACTGAGGCAGAGTGAGTCCCAACGGGGACAGAGTGGGTCCCAACGGGGACAGAGTGAGTCCCATTGAGGCAGAGTGGGTCCCATCGGGGACAGAGTGGGTCCCAACGGGGACAGAGTGGGTCCCAACGGGGACAGAGTGAGTCCCATTGAGGCAGAGTGGGTCCCATTGGGACACAGTGGGTCCCATCGGGGACAGAGTGGGTCCCATTGGGACAGAGTGGGTCCCAACGGGGCAGAGTGAGTCCCTTTGAGGCAGAGTGAGTCCCTTTGAGGCAGAGTGGGTCCCGTTGGGACAGAGTGGGTCCCACTGAGGCAGAGTGGGTCCCGTTGGGACAGAGTGGGTCCCACTGAGGCAGAGTGGGTCCCATTGAGGCAGAGTGGGTCCCATCGGGGACAGAGTGGGTCCCATTGGGACAGAGTGGGTCCCAACGGGGACAGAGTGAGTCCCATTGAGGCAGAGTGGGTCCCAACGGGACAGACTGGGTCCCATTGAGGCACAGTGGGCCCCATTGGGAAAGAGTGGGTCCCATTGAGGCAGAGTGGGTCCCAACGGGGACAGAGTGGGTCCCAACGGGGCAGAGTGGGTCCCTTTGAGGCAGAGTGGGTCCCAACGGGGACAGAGTGAGTCCCATTGAGGCAGAGTGGGTCCCAACGGGGACAGAGTGGGTCCCATTGGGACACAGTGGGTCCCATCGGGGACAGAGTGGGTCCCATTGGGACACAGTGGGTCCCAACGGGGCAGAGTGAGTCCCTTTGAGGCAGAGTGGGTCCCGTTGGGACAGAGTGGGTCCCACTGAGGCAGAGTGGGTCCCACTGAGGCAGAGTGGGTCCCATTGAGGCAGAGTAGGTCCCGTTGGGACAGAGTGGGTCCCACTGAGGCAGAGTGGGTCCCATTGAGGCAGAGTGGGTCCCAACGGGGCAGAGTGAGTCCCATTGAGGCAGAGTGGGTCCCATTGGGACAGAGTGAGTCCCATTGAGGCAGAGTGGGTCCCATCGGGGACAGAGTGGGTCCCATTGGGACAGAGTGGGTCCCAACGGGGACAGAGTGGGTCCCATTGAGGCAGAGTGGGTCCCATTGAGGCAGAGTGGGTCCCAACGGGGACAGAGTGGGTCCCATTGGGACACAGTGGGTCCCATCGGGGACAGAGTGGGTCCCATCGGGGACAGAGTGGGTCCCAACGGGGCAGAGTGAGTCCCTTTGAGGCAGAGTGGGTCCCGTTGGGACAGAGTGGGTCCCACTGAGGCAGAGTGGGTCCCATTGAGGCAGAGTGGGTCCCATTGAGGCAGAGTGGGTCCCGTTGGGACAGAGTGGGTCCCACTGAGGCAGAGTGGGTCCCAACGGGGCAGAGTGAGTCCGATTGAGGCAGAGTGGGTCCCATCGGGGACAGAGTGGGTCCCATTGGGACAGAGTGAGTCCCATTGAGGCAGAGTGGGTCCCAACGGGACAAACCGGGTCCCATTGAGGCACAGTGGGCCCCATTGAGACAGAGTGAGTCCCATTGAGGCAGAGTGGTCCCATCGGGGACAGAGTGGGTCCCATTGGGACAGAGTGGGTCCCAACGGGGACAGAGTGAGTCCCATTGAGGCAGAGTGGGTCCCATTGAGGCAGAGTGGGTCCCGTTGGGACAGAGTGGGTCCCACTGAGGCAGAGTGGGTCCCATTGAGGCAGAGTGGGTCCCGTTGGGACAGAGTGGGTCCCACTGAGGCAGAGTGGGTCCCATTGAGGCAGAGTGGGTCCCAACGGGGCAGAGTGAGTCCCATTGAGGCAGAGTGGGTCCCATTGGGACAGAGTGAGTCCCATTGAGGCAGAGTGGGTCCCATCGGGGACAGAGTGGGTCCCATTGGGACAGAGTGGGTCCCAACGGGGCACAGTGAGTCCCTTTGAGGCAGAGTGGGTCCCGTTGGGACAGAGTGGGTCCCACTGAGGCAGAGTGGGTCCCGTTGGGACAGAGTGGGTCCCACTGAGGCAGAGTGGGTCCCATTGAGGCAGAGTGGGGTCCGGTCGGGGACAGAGTGGGTCCCAACGGGACAGACTGGGTCCCATTGAGGCACAGTGGGCCCCATTGGGAAAGAGTGGGTCCCATTGAGGCAGAGTGTGTCCCAACGGGGACAGAGTGGGTCCCATTGGGACACAGTGGGTCCCATCGGGGACAGAGTGGGTCCCATTGGGACAGAGTGGGTCCCAACGGGGCAGAGTGAGTCCCTTTGAGGCAGAGTGGGTCCCGTTGGGACAGAGTGGGTCCCACTGAGGCAGAGTGGGTCCCATTGAGGCAGAGTGGGTCCCATTGAGGCAGAGTGGGTCCCGTTGGGACAGAGTGGGTCCCACTGAGGCAGAGTGGGTCCCGTCGGGGACAGAGTGGGTCCCAACGGGACAGACTGGGTCCCATTGAGGCACAGTGGGCCCCACTGGGACAGAGTAGGTCCCATTGAGGCAGAGTGGGTCCCAACGGGGAAAGAGTGGGTCCCTTTGAGGCAGAGTGGGTCCCATTGGGACAGAGTGGGTTCCATTGAGGCAGAGTGGGTCCCATTGAGGCAGAGTGGGTCCCAACGGGGACAGAGTGAGTCCCATTGAGGCAGAGTAGGTCCCAACGGGGCAGAGTAGGTCCCATTGAGGCAGAGTGGGTCCCAACGGGGACAGAGTGGGTTACATTGAGGCAGAGTGGGTCCCAACGGGACAGACTGGGTCCCATTGAGGCACAGTGGGCCCCATTGGGAAAGAGTGGGTCCCATTGAGGCAGAGTGGGTCCCAACGGGGACAGAGTGGGTCCCAACGGGGCAGAGTGGGTCCCTTTGAGGCAGAGTGGGTCCCAACGGGGAGAGTGAGTCCCTTTGAGGCAGAGTGGGTCCCATTGAGGCAGAGTGGGTCCCAACGGGGACAGAGTGGGTCCCATTGGGACAGAGTGGGTCCCATTGGGACACAGTGGGTCCCATCGGGGACAGAGTGGGTCCCATTGGGACAGAGTGGGTCCCAACGGGGCAGAGTGAGTCCCTTTGAGGCAGAGTGGGTCCCGTTGGGACAGAGTGGGTCCCACTGAGGCAGAGTGGGTCCCAACGGGGACAGAGTGGGTCCCGTTGGGACAGAGTGGGACCCACTAAGGCAGAGTGGGTCCCATTGAGGCAGAGTGGGTCCCGTCGGGGACAGAGTGGGTCCCAACGGGACAGACTGGGTCCCATTGAGGCACAGTGGGTCCCAACGGGGACAGAGTGGGTCCCATTGAGGCAGAGTGGGTCCCATTGAGGCAGAGTGGGTCCCATTGAGGCAGAGTGGGTCCCATTGAGGCAGAGTGGGTCCCATTGAGGCAGAGTGGGTTCCATTGAGGCAGAGTGGGTCCCATTGAGGCAGAGTGGGTCCCATTTAGGCAGAGTGGGTCCCGTTGGGACAGAGTGGGTCCCAACGGGACAGAGTGGGTCCCAACGGGACAGAGGGGTCCCACTGAGGCAGAGTGGGTCCCGTCGGGGACAGAGTGGGTCCCAACGGGACAGACTGGGTCCCATTGAGGCACAGTGGGCCCCATTGGGACAGAGTGGGTCCCATTGAGGCAGAGTGGGTCCCAACGGGACAGAGTGGGTCCCATTGGGACAGAGTTGGTCCCTACGGGGACAGAGTGGGTCCCATTGAGGCAGAGTGGGTCCCAACAGGGACAGAGTGGGTCCCTTTGAGGCAGAGTGGTCCCATTGAGGCAGAGTGGGTCCCATTGAGGCAGAGCGGGTCCCATTGAGGCAGAGTAGGTCCCAACGGGGCAGAGTGGGTCCCATTGAGGCAGAGTGGGTCCCATTGATGCAGAGTGGTTTCCCAACGGGGCAGAGAGGGTCCCATTGGGACAGAGTGGTCCCATTGAGGCAGAGTGGGTCCCATTGAGGCAGAGTAGGTCCCAACGGGGTAGAGTGGGTCCCATTGAGGCAGAGTGGGTCCCAACGGGGACAGAGTGGGTCCCATTGAGGCAGAGTGGGTCCCAACGGGGCAGAGAGGGTCCCTTTGAGGCAGAGTGGGTCCCATTGGGACAGAGTGGGTCCCATTGAGGCAGAGTGGGTCCCATTGAGGAAGAGTGGATCCCATTGAGGCAGAGTAGGTCCCAACGGGGCAGAGTGAGTCCCATTGAGGCAGAGTGGGTCCCATCGGGACAGAGTGGTTCCCAACGGGACAGAGTGGGTCCCATTGAGGCAGAGTGGGTCCCAACGGGGACAGAGTGGGTCCCAACGGGGCAGAGTGGGTCCCTTTGAGGCAGAGTGGGTCCCGTTGGGACAGAGTGGGTCCCAACGGGGACAGAATGGGT